CTCCCTCCCTCCCCCCCCTGGCTCCCCGTGGGCTCCCATAGCTTCGCCCCAAAATGCCATTTATTTCACCTATTTTGCCTTTGAGCGTTTCATTTTACCTGCTTCCCCTATCCTTATCCCCCGTGCTCTCCCTCTGGGAAAGGGGAAGCCGCAGGCAGATTCTGCTATGAAATAACCCCGTGTTTGTCCCCTCCTGACACACCTTTACGCTGTCCACGACCTCATGGTGCTCGTTGTGTTTTTCCTACAGAAACAGAGCTCCCACGACGGGCGCCGGCGCCAAGAAAGGCTCCATCGTGAGCTCGTGCAGCCAGCGGCACGGCAGCGTGGCCAGCAGCACCTACTCGTACAGGGCCACGAGCCGCAGGAGCCACTTCCCGAGCGAGGGCAGGGCTGCGGACAGGGTGTCCCTGGCGGGCCCCAAGCACGCGCCGCAGGTGAGCGCCCGCGTCCCGAGCGGGGCCGATTTTAAACGGTTTAAACGTCGTGAGGAAAGAAGCCGGGGGAGGCTGGGGAGAGGGAGGGCGCGTCTGAACTCTGTGGAGAAAGAAGGTGATGCCAGAGCTGGATCCGTTCGCAGGTGAGGGTGATCCAGCTGTCAAAACAATCTGCAAGAATAAAAACAACACAGGCATAATAACCTCCGCATTACTTCTCCAAGGCTAACAAGCTTTGCTTTGGATTTGCTGTTGTTTTTTTAAACTTTCTTTAGGCGCTGTTTTTCCTATTTGTTGGGTTGAAGGGGTGGATGCTCCACACACCTGACTTGAGAGGCCGCCAGAAGTCCAATGTACAAGTCCAGTGTACGTTCTACATAAGTTAACGAGCCCGGGGTTTTAAACACTGACCACAACTTAATTCCTTTCCAAGTCAGATGAAGGCAAGGGCAGCTCTGCTGAGAGAGGTGTTTAGTACTGGCCAACACGAGGCTGGAGGGAAGAGCTCTCAGCGGTGGCAAGCAGGCTCCAGCGCCTTAGGATGCCACTCCAGGAGTGAGGGAGTTAGATAAAGGCAAGGGCAGCTCTGCCGAGAGAGGTGTTTAGTGCTGGCCAACAAGAGGCTGAAGGCATGTGAGGCTGGAGGGAAGAGCTCTCAGCAGCAGCGAGCAGGCTCCAGCGTCAGTGCCTTAGGATGCCACTCCAGGAGTGAGGATGGTGCTCTTCCTTGGCTAGCTGCTCCCTGCACCCGGTGTGGGGTATCCCAGGTCCTCTTCTGCAGCCCCTCAATTGCACTAAGATGCGTCTGACTCAAGGAAGTGAGTCCTGCAAGGGGACAGGGACTGCAGCTGGATGCTCTGGTTGCTTTTCTACTGCCAAACAAATCAGGGAGTGACTTTATGCACTGTCTTGCTGAGTGTTAGTATGCTCTCTGCAGCTGCTTGGTCCTTGTCAGTGAGTGTTCTCCAGGATAGTAGCAGCTGGGGGGATAACACACACCACACATTCCCATAGGTGACGTCTTCAAGGACATAGTGGTTAGTTTTCCATTGCCCCTGCGATCATCCGGTACCATCCAGCAGGCTTTGCACCCCTAAAAACTTCTTGATGCCCTCACATCACAGCCTGGGACAGGTAGCACTGCATTCAGCTTGTGCTGTGAGCTGCAGCACAGCCCTCACATTCGTTCAGGCACTTTGAACTGGAAAAAAAAAGTGCAATCAAGCAAAGTAATAGCTCTAATTTAGGGCCATCAGGGCATCACATGAAGCCCAGACAAAATCCAAGGTCAAGGACTGTGAATGGAGCCAGGATGTTTGGCCTCAAGACCAGGGAATTGTCTGTTTTATTTAGCAGTGCCTGTGCAGTTTTGTAGCGCTTTCGTGTACCGTTCTGCTCAAGTCCTTCCACTAGTGACAAGGGAGCATAGTTATGCACTAGGATAGCCCAGCAGTGTGACATTCTTTTAAAATATTTCCCTGCATTCTTTTAAAGGTAAGCAATTTAGAATAATAGTTCTCCTCCTGATTGAAGAACTACTAATTATTTAAGAACTATCTGCATGAGAAGTATTGACTGGAACAAGTGTGTGTCTTTTCCTGACTAAGAGAAGAGATTCCCACAACATAATCTGAGTGCTGCTTGGAGACCATTCTGAATATGTTCTTACAATAAAGTGATATTTTCAGCAATGTAATAAAGAAGTTGCACAATTGTTTCTCTAGCTGCTTTTGCTGTACTGTGATTTTGATACGAATAGTGGCAGCCAAAAGCCACTCCTGGCAGTCAGTATGGAATAAGCCTGAAAAGACTAGAGGGTTAACCAAGAAGCAGCAGCTCAGACAGCAAGGTGGATGTAATTTCTCAGCATGTTCTGCAGCCGAAATCCAAGGAGAGAAATCCAAAGAAGTCCCAAACAAAGGTGGCAGCTGCTCCTCAAGGCTGAATTCCCAAGGGGAGCTGGGGATGCAAACACCTTTGCCCGTGTCTGTGGGGTGCGTTAGTCTGTTCTGCCAGGGAGGTTGAGTATCTTCCCCATCCTGCCCAAATGAGGGTCTGTTCCAAATGAGATAAAATGTTACATGTGTGATCAGTGTCATTTGCTTTCAGATAATTATTTTGTTCACAATAATTGTGATTATTTAAATTTTTTTTAGGTTTTTGATGATCAAGGAAA